GGGGCAGGAGTGAGCTTCTGCTTTAGCAGAGCACAGTTCAACAGGGCACTCCCTGCTAGTTAAAAGGCCATGGAGCAGGGCGATCTTTTCCCAGTGGTGGAGTCAGTGTTTACATTTTTAGCAGCCTTTAAAAGTGGCTAGTTTTCTTTACAAGTTTTCTGAAGCTACTCAGCAAGAAAGGTCCAACAAGGTAGTAGAGTCAGAGATGGCCAAGGGGTAAAATGACCAGGACTGTTTCCTAAAGCAGAGCACATGACATGATTCCCATTTTACAGATGAGGATACTGAAGGTCAGTGAAGCTTCATAAACTGCCCGAGTGAAGATGAAATGAGACCAGAGCTCAGGTAAGTCTGGCTCTCACCCACCACTCACCTGGCCACCCATCACCTACAACTGTCATTTTAGGCTTTACTCTAGGTCTGTGTACAACTCTTAAGTTGGTGGCAGCGTTTTCATGTCTTTTCCAAAGGCCTAGTGATATGTTGGGCAGTGTACCAGGTGGCATGAAAAACGCCACAGGAAATCTTTCCAGGAATAAGCATCTTATTTGAAAAATCAGGGAGGGGGGAGGCCTCCATACACATTTGGGTTAAAGCAATTAAGAATATACATTTCAAAGTAGAATGAAAAATAGCACATTTTAAATATTTAAATACTTAAATAAAGTATTAGTTGAGAACTCAAAGGAAATATCTGCTTTGTAACCCTGGGGGTATGCGTTTATATCTCGCTGCACCAAAGGTGACATAGGTCATCAGCTTCTTACCTATTGTATAAATGATCCCACTTCTTTTTTTTGATTTATTTTATAATTTTTTTTAAATGTTTATTTATTTTTGAGAGAAAGAGGGAGAGAGAGAGAGAGAGAAAATGAGAATGAGTGGGGAAGGGGCAGAGAGAGAGAGGGAGACACAGAATCTGAAGCAGGCTCCAGGCTCTGAGCTGTCAACACAGAGCCTGACATGAGGCTTGAACTCACGAACTGTGAGATCATGACCTGAGCCGAAGTCAGACGCTTCACCGACTGAGCCATCCAGATGGCCCATAGTCCCACTTCCTAAGGGCAATACCATGTGGAAAACAAAATCTTTCCCATACTGTTGCTTATCCAAAAAAGCTATGTATCTCTTTTGGACAATAAAAAAACTATCTCTATAGATCAAGTCATTTAGTTTTTCTTAGCATTTCCTCTGTAGAATGGGGATAATAATAGAACCTATGGGGTTACCATGAAATTTAATGAGTTAATATATCATAAGCACTTAGAACAGTACCTAGCACATTGTAAACAGTCAGTAAGCACTTACTGTTTCACTAGTATAGTATTCTTATTTCTGTATCCTTGCTACTTGCTCATGAAGACTTAGCTATTCATTGTAACAGATATGGTTTATGAAAAAATGCCAATTAGGGTGACTTATTTACAAGTTCTTTACTTGGGGTAAAAAAACAATATTTGTTTGACGTTCGCTCCACCCCACCTCAAACAATTTTTCAGAAATGTGCCATTGTGATGCCAGGATGCCAGTGGATACAAAAAAATCAGTCTGGTCCATTTATCATTAGTAAGCCCCTCTGACCACTGTCATGACCAGCGGGGCTATGAAAGCTGAATCTAACTCCACACATTGCCTCACAACTTTGCCTTGATAAAGATGGGAATATCTGCATTGCCTTGTTAATGACTTTTTTATTTTTACCTCTTGACTATCTTGTGTTTGCTTTTAAGAGGTGTAAACAGTCCTCAGGTTACAGTTCTCTTTACTCTCTTCAGGAACATGACTTGTAGCTCAGCAGAGTAAGGACTGACTCCTCCTCAGGGATTCAGAAAGGGGCTTCACCCAGGGCTTTCACAGCAAATTCTTCTGAGCAGCCCCTAGGGAGTAAAGCCAACCCTCTCTGGAGTCAACAAGAAAGACTCATGACTGAGCACGCTCCAGTTCAACAAGCTTTCTCCCCTGCAGTGGCATTCTGGCAAAATAAAGGATGGATCACATGGGGTGCCTGGGTAGCTTAGTCGGTTAAGTGTCTGACTGTGGCTCAGGTCATGATCTCACGGTTCGTCAGTTCAAGCCCCACGTCGGGCTCTGTGCTGACAGCTCAGAGCCTGGAGCCTGCTTCGAATTCTGTGTCTCCCTCTCTCTCTGCCCCTCCCCTGCTAATGCTCATTCTCTCTCTCTCTCTCTGTCTCTCAAAAATGAATAAATACTAAAAAAAAAAAAATAAAATTAAAAAAAAAAAAGGATCACAAAGGACTAAGGTGGTAGAGGTGCACCCACTGGCTCCATTCTCAAAAATGACGAGTCACTTCAGTGTAGCCCCTTATGGTTTGTAGTGTGCTTTCTGGATGCTTCACAACTGCCTGGGATGGGAGCCTAAGTTTCGGAGTGTGACTGGTCTGTCCTCCTCAACAGCCCTTCTACATTGAGGGAAAGTAATGGTACCTTCAGCCCGTTCTCCAGCAAATCTTCATTCTTTGTGCTTACAGCTATTTAGCTCTATCAGTATGTTAAACAGAAAGCTTCCAGATCACTTTAGGGTTGGTGAGAACTGAATGGATTCTCAGTCCACACCAGCAGAAGTGCACAACAACCAAAGCTTAGGGCATCTGTTCTCTGGCCTGGCCCACCTGGAGAACTTCTAACAGGCTGCAAGTCTGAGCTACTTGAAGATGAGGGCTCTACATTTCCAGTCTTTGGATTCTTCACGCACAGGGGCATGTTCCATTGACTTATGTGCCTTTCTCAGTTGAGCTACCCTTTTTGTGGTATCCATGAAGAACTGAAATCTAGTAAAATTGGCTCAATGTCGAGTTGGGACTTTATCTTCCTCTGATGATGTGGAAAGCGGAAAGAATTTCAGGCTGTCATTAGGTCCATCACCTATTCATTCCAGTAAAAAGTTTCAAGGCTTCTTAAGGGAACTTTGGAGTATTGGAATGATGAGAAGGAGCCAGTCATGAGAAGGGTTTTAGGGAAAAGGGTTCAGATAGAAAGCGAAAAGGAGGGAATGAGCATGGTGAGTTTGAGGCCATCTGATTGGAGTGGATGGAAAGAGAATGCATGGTGGTGGCTGAGGGAGCAAATGCAGGCAGGAGTCAGGCCTTCTTGGATTTCTGAAGGCCAGGCTGAGGAAGTTGCCTTTCACCTTAAGAGACATGGAAAGCCGTGGGAGGAATTTAAGGCAGGGTGGATAAGATCCAAGTTGGGGGAAAGCTGTTGGATCTAGAACTGAGACTCCCCGATGCCCACTTAAACTCCTCCTCTAGCCTCCTACATAAGATTTACAGATCTAGCATGTGCTCTAATTCCTGGATGCCAGGAATGGGAAGAACAAGTCAGTGGTATCAATTTTAAACCCCAGCAGCACACTTAGTCATTATGTGATCTTGGGATCACGCAAAAGCCTATTGATTTTTCTGAGCATCACTTGCATCACTTATAAAAAATCGGAGTAATCATCCCTATTGACAGGAGTTATGAGGATTAAGTGAGACCTCATTTGCCAGGGGCTTAGTAGAGGGCCTACTCTGCAGAGGATCATTTGGGGTGTTAAATCTCCTATAGATACTCTCCTAGATATCCCACATACAGCCTTCCTGAACTCCTAGATGACTTCCTGACTCCTAGCACCTGGACATGCCTTCAGTCAGCCCCATCACCCACCTGTCCACGCCATCACTCCTAGGCCACTTGATGTTGTCCCACACAGCAATGTGAGGGTAGTAATACCTACATCACAAGAGCGTTGTGAAGAATAAGTGACATAACAAAGGCACGGTGGTCTAGTCCACTTCCTAGAATACAGGAGGAACTCAGGACAGTGAAGCATCACCTCCCTGGAAGGAAGTGGCTACAAAAGTTGCCCTTCAAGGAGGGACCCGGGCTGTGCAGATGCACTTGTTTCTGACCTGTCTCCAGCAGCAGCTTCACCACAGAGAAGTTGGAGTGAGACACGCTATAGTGAAGAGCCGTGTTCCCGTTGCCATCTGCCATGTTCACAAGCAGCTTCAGGAAGTGTGGGGAGTGGGGCTGGACCCCACGGAGGTAGGCCGCCACCACAGCAGGGCTAGACGACTTCCGGCTGGAGATGCGGAACCACTCTTGACTGATGGTGTTCAAGCTCTGCCTCTGAAATACCAACAGATTCCAGTTCCAGGAGATTACCTGGCCTGGGGTGCTCCAGCTGGGGTGTTCCTTTCCACTAGGAAAAGTCAGCTTTGGATGCTTCACGGCTATCCCTTCAGCTCCCTGTAACTCCATGTGACTTATTCCTGGAGGGATCAGAGCTGGTGGGGTTGAGTTTGCACCTGTGTGATGAGCCCCCCATGTGAGGTAGAAAGAGGACTGGGAGAGCAAACAATAACTGGTGACAGTGTCCTAGGTGACAGTTTGAATCTACTGTAAGTTTAGCTTGCGTCCCTTGTATGCACAGGATAACCAAGGCCCCGTCTTTCATATAACCAGCCAATATTGACCTTAGCCCAGACTCTATCAGGACTTTTGTGTGTTTTCAATAGCCATAACTAGCAAGTCACAACATTTTACTAATGGGAAAAATGCATGCTGAAAGCTAAGATCAACAACATGGCCAATTTATGCTAGAAAATAAAACCCAAACAGCTGTGCTTGAATTATTTTTGGCTTTTAAGCTTTGCTAGAACCTTCAGAGAAAATGATTTAACAACCCATGGCAGGACCTCACTATCTGCAGTATTTAGCTCCTTTGGAACCATCGATGAGGAGAATTCCAGACATAAATGACATCGATTCTCTGTGTTACATGACCTACATGTTTAAAATAGAACATGTTATGTTATTTATGTAAGGGGGAGGAGAAACCATGGGGATGTGACTTCACACTCATTCTGGAAAGGGACTGGAGTTGGAGTCACTTAAGCCAATGTAGCCAGGCTTAAGTCCTGGCTCAGTTATATGACCTTGGAAGTCATGTAGTCATTTTGAACCTTCCTGTCTCAACTACAAAATGTGGGTGAAAAGTCCCTAACCTGTCCCTGGCTCTACACAGTGAGGTCTTTGTACAACCTGCTTTGTCTCGAAGGTGGGGTTGGGGTCGGGGGTACTTTGAACCTAACGTGGGTGTGGTGTCAGGTTTGCACATCCTCCATCACTTTTCTTTTTCTGTTTCTTATTTACTTTATTTTTAAGTAAACTCTATGCCCAGTGTGGGGCTTGAACTCACGACCCCAAGATCAAGGGTTGCATGTTCTACCAACTGAGCCATCCAGGTTACCCTATGTCTTCTAGGCAGAAACAGTGGAGTCTTTTGTGGCTGAAACATTTTTTATATATCAAAATATCTCCCTTTCCTGTGGAATCTTCAGGAGAATCTGGAGAAAGATCCTAATATTAAGGAACATACAGCTTAGTTCTGTAATTCATTCAGAACTACTTATTCTGTAATTCAGAATAAGTAACAGGAGTTTCGATCAACATCCATCCACATCACACACTGGTTTTTTAACAATCTGGGAACAGTTGTTTGCCAAATCAGCTGAGATAAAATAATCAAGATGGGTTGGGCTGAGTCAATCATTTTTTACCCCTAAGCCTCTTCTGCAAGGGAGAACAAAATGGGCTCTAAAATGCTTATGGGTTGTTACACACTGGGGCTTACCAGCTGGCTCTCATGACTTGGGAAAATGTGTCTGTGCCAGTATTTCTTGAGTAAAAGTAGAACCTAATGGTTATCTGTTTACACCTCTGTGGCCATTAAGGTGCCAACAGATATATTTTCTTGCTTTTGGTCTCTCAACCCATAGGTACACGTCAAGAAAAACAGTATAGACTACAGAATTAAGTACAAGGGCTTGAGGGTAATGAAACATGCTGCCCACCGCCCACCTTCATTTTATTAATGAGGTGAACTGACTTGTTCAAGATCTCACAGAGGTCCTGGGACTAGAATCCCGGTTCCCATTCCACATGCTCTTCACTCTGCCCACAGCTCTCTCCAATTGTGAGGTGATTTTGAGCCTAAGCCACACAGTTTTGTTTTGTTGATTGTTGTACACCTGACATTCAGGTGCAGCGCCTGATAACCCTCGATAGTGCCTCTGAGCACCAGGCTGCTTCCTGGTGCAAATGCATCGGTTCCCCTCTCCCAGCATAACCCATCACCTAGGCAGCAGAGTTTGGGCAAATGAAGGTACCCAGAGGAAAGGGACTCCGTGCACACCCACACTGCTGCCTCAGGCGGGAGACCAAAGTCACCGAGCTGGAACTAACAGCTTAAACGGCAGGGACATCCTTCCATGACAATGAAAAATCACAGTACCAAGAGTTGGTCGGTGGTGGCCCCACTTTCTGGCAGATGTTGGCTCAATGCCCGGCATGCACTGAGGAATTCTTCTGAAGGCTTATATCTAAAGAGGAAAAAAAAATACATATATATATATATATATATATATATATATATATATATATCTTCATATTAATAAAAAAGAAAGTAATCCCCTACCTTGACTTTCGCTTCTCAGCAGCTGAAACACCCACACTGAGCAACTTCCCAGGACAAGGGATATTACACTGAATACAGCCTCCCACAATGAGGCTTGGCTTCTGAACTCTTCTGAAGAGTGAGTCAAGCACATTGCCCCTTTAATCCTGCTGTTTTCAGGAGGAGGGAGTAGATCACCAAAGCATTCTGGGGGCCATGGGCCTAACTGCAATTCCTGACATGCTGGGAAAGGAAGGCCTGTCTTCCTGACTTTGGCTAAAACATTTTCTGCCTCAGAGACTTGAAAAACCCAAAGAACCCAATCCATACTAGCAAATTTTGTCAGGTTGTTCTTTCATGAAGGGTACCATCAATGCTAACAGAGTCAATAAAATGAAAATCAGTTAAGCTGGGATGCACTCAATGATGAGCACTCTTCCCGTGTTAGTATAAGGGCAGACAGACCATCCCGGGGTAGGACTTAATGGCATTGGTCACCAGGAAGCTCTACCCTCATCACATCTTTATAGTGCTGCCATGTTGGAGCAGCCCTGTGTACCCGCTTAGTAGTCAGATCCCACTCACTGCTTGTCACTACCCCTGGCTGGGTGTGGTAGTGATGATTATGGTATTTACTATCCTTATTTCCACTATTTCTTGAGAGCCTACTGTGTGGCGGGCACTGTGCTAGGCATTTTACATATTTTTTCTCATCCAGTCCTCAGGTCAAACCTATCAGGTGGCTGTTATCCACATTATTCCAAATGAGGAAACTGAGGCAACCACAGTTCAGGTGCCTTGTGTAAAGTGACCCTGTGGCAGACATAGGATTTGAATCCAAGTGTGTCCAACTCCAAAGGCAGTACTCTTTTCATCATGTGACATGACCTCACATCTCTTTCAAAGACGGGGTTATGTCAACATGGCCAACAGGAGAGGCAGAAAAGCATATGGGTAAGAATCAGAAAAGATCTGGGTCAGAATCCCTGCTCTGCTAGCTGCGTCACTTAACTTCTCTAAGCCTCTGTTTCCACATCTGTAAAGTTGGGATTATAATAATTTCTACCTTGCAGGATAATTAAAAGGATTATCTAAGATAGTACATGTAAAGTCCTTCGCATTTCTAGTGCTGGGGCCATGTTAGCTTTACACGTAGAGCTCTATGACAGGGTATCCCATGAAGGCAGGAGTTACGTCTGTGCCTAGCATAGATTAGAAACTCAGTAAATCTGGTGAACGGAGAGAAAGATGAACAGATGAACAAATAATGGAATAAAAGGGTGAAGAAATGCCCTTGCTCTTTCTCGGAGGATCAATACTCCCATCCGTGCCCATCTGACTCACCTCTCAGCCTTGGGATGGGAGAGGTCTTCAGGAGGCCCACCGTCCTGGCCTGAGGTGCTGGTGCCCTCTGGGATGCCCTGCCCGGCCTTGCAGCCGGGGTGGGCCTCCTTGCCCCGCTTGTGTTCTGTGCCATCACATTTCTTCTCAGCCTCGCTGTCAGACAAGTCTTCCGGGGAGCTGTCCTCACCGCTGGTCTCCTCGCTTGAGGTGGTCTCATAGCTGGAGAACAAGACAAAGGTCACTCATTCTGTGCTTTCTACCCGGTGCCCAGGTCAACACATATAAGAACCAGGTGGGCTTCAGGTAATAATTCCCAGCTTGCTAAACCACATCTCCATTCTCTATACCTGCAGACCCGGTTGAGGGGACTCCCAGGAACCTTATGTCAGAGAAAGATGTGGTTAAGAGCTGTGGCTTTAACACCAGAGGCCATTTGGGGAGAAAAGATAATTAACTGAGCTCTTTGCAGTGAACATGTAAATAGCCCATACCCTAATTGGCCAATGCATTTGGAGGATTCAGACAAGCAATCCAAGATTCTCACAGAAGCATTTTTTCGGGAATCCTAACGTGTTGTCTAGAGAGGGGCCCAGATCTAGGCAAACATCCCCACTCCACCCTGGATCCTCTGAGTTGACTGACAAATCATCACGTCTCCAGGTGATTATGAGGCTTCCCTTTAGCTCCCCTGTTCTAGCCCAGCTGACCTCTGAAAGGAAGGACCCATCTGTATCTACTCCCAGCAGGGTTCCATGGGAAACCTGAACAGTCAGGGTACCTGAACCCAGCATCTGCCTTTCCTGGCTGCAGCCTGTTTTAGCTATTACTTGCAACAGCAAAAGCAAGGGCACGGGCCCCTTGACTTGTGGCCCCTCCTCCCCAGGAGTGATCCTTATATTCAATTATGTGCAACTCCACTGAGGTGACAGACCACAGACCATGAAGAGAAGTCCTGGAAGATTTATCGATCCTTCTGCCGATAGTCAACAGGAGACCCCGAAAGAGGATGCTGCAGTTAGGATGAAGATTTCGGGTGCTGGGGCCATTGGACAATGCCACAGAGACCAGGGGAGACCAGTGGCCACGGCTTCCACAGAACCCCCTCATGCCCTTTCTCTGAATGATGGCCCCTATGGAAGGCCCCTGTGCTCACTGGATTTGCAAACCCAGCCTGCTCCTTGGCGTGTTCACATTCTGTCTTGTTTAAACCAGATATTTCTTCTATTGTGCTTGGAACCACCTTTTACTTTTGTGATTAAGGGAGTAGGGGACATACTACATTTACCAAGCTGGTCTTGTCTTACAGTTGCTTCCATAAAGACTTCACCTGGATGTCAGTTCATTCATTCAACAGAAATTTATTGAGCACCTACTATGTGTCACACACTGTTGTAAATGCTATACCAAAGTACCTGTCCTAATTGAGTTTATATTCTAATAGGAAAACAACAGAAAGTAAACGTGTAAACAGTATAATTACATAGTGATAAGAACAATGAGTAAGATAATAAAGGACCATGGGATTGAGTAATGGGAGGAGGGGCTACATTAATTAGAGCAGAAGTTTTTTCACCCTGGCTGTACGTTATAATCACTTGAGGGGATATCAATTCCCAATATCTGTGCTGCACCCCAGACTAATTAAACTGGCGTTTTCAGGGAGGGGACTCAGACGTTGGTATTTTTAAGGCTCCCCCAGGGTTTCCAAGGTGCAGCCAAGGTTGAGAAACATTGGACTAAAGTGACAAATACTGAAGAATATCTGGGACAGGAGCACTTTAAGAGGTGGGGGAGATGGATGGAAGGACAGATAGCAAATGCAAGGGCCCCAGCATGGGCCCAACTTGGCACATTTTAGGGAAGAGAGACAGGAGCCAATGGCAGACACTGAGGCAAGCTCTAGCTGCAAGATTGACTTCCAGGTTTGGGCACAGGGCAGGCACTGTCAGGGGCATTTCAGAAGGGGAGAGAGAGAACCTGCTTTTAGACTTTGAGATTAGGCTGATTCTCCTTTCCTGTGCATGAGCTGGCGAAAGCTGAAAACGGCAGCGAAAGCTGACGTTAGTGGCCATGAGAACGGCGACCCTCCTATGACATCCCATTTCCTTATATCTGACGTTTTCCTTGCAGAACCTGCAACAGTGCCGTCACTCTTATTTGAACCTGGTGTCTTCCTTCTGATCTGACCTGAAGGAAGCAGGGGTTCTGACCCCTTTGGGGCCACCACCGGGGCCTGCCACTGGCTGGGTCATGTGCCCCTCCTTTAGGCCTACACTTCTTCCTCTACACATCTCAGCATATCAGCATTTTCTCTTTACTTCTTGTCTTCTCCCTGCCCTGTCCAAACTATGAGCTCAGGGCAGGGACCATGATTTATTTCACTTTTTTTATGACTGACACCTAATACATTTGTCAACATTTAATAAATGTTTGTTGGATGACTGGTCTAGAAAATACTCTGAATCCAGGGGCGTCTGAGTGGCTCAGTCCGTTAAGTGTCCGACTCTTGGATCTCACTGTTTTGTGAATTTGAGGTCTGAGTCGGGCTCTGTGCTGGCAGTTTGGAGCCTGCTTGGGATTCTCTCTCTCCCTTTCTCTTTGACCCTACCCCACTCATACTCTTTCTCAAAAAATAAAATAAAAAAAAAAAAGAAAGAAAATATTCTAAAGCCGATGATTTACTCTCTAGAATATATAAAGTTTGATTCATGTTCTGAGTCAATAGGCATTGGTTGCTTTTCTTCACGCTAAAAGATGTTGGATTGGTTTGCAGTAAGTTAGTTAAAAGGAAGAAAAAAACCTAAATGGATGAAATTTGAAGTTCAACAAACTAAGAGTTTGTCCTGGTTTCAGTGTTTGTTGTGCAGGTTAAATGTCTTCTGTAAAGGGCCCATGTGCTCCCCAAATTCCCAGAAGCCACCTGGAATCCTGGCCCCAGGGGGCACCAACACCGAGACATTAAAAGCATGGGATCCGACAGACCACCACAGCTGGCAAGGAGCCAAACACATGCAAACCCAAGATGGAGTTTTAAAGGGCTGTTAATTCCCTTGAAGAAAAATGAGAACCAGATGCTTCCCCCTAGGAAAAGAGAGCACTAAGGACAACAGCGGGATGGGAAGTGTGGAGGGGGCAGTCTGGGCTTCACGAGCGATGCTTACCCACCGTTAACCCCAACAAACTGAAGGTTCTTTTTGGTCCCATTACCTCCTGCACGGAAGCCATAGTCTTTCTTTTTCATTATGGACTTAAGGCTGGTCGACGGGGAGATCTCTAGGCAGACACAACATCACAGGTTAGAATGATCTTGGGGATGCCCCAGAATGCAGCGAAACCGGTACTCTTGCTTTGAGCGGATACACACTGAAGGTATGTGAGGGGGTAGAAAGGGACAGAGCACTAGATAATGTAAATCAAATATTGTGAAGGTCTTTGAGGAGGCCTGGCCTTCTGGTCAACACCAGCTGACCTGTCCCTGTCCACAAAGCCCTTCTGAGTGTGGATGGTGGAGTGGAATTAGTGGCACTCTTCCAGAAGAGCCATGTGGTGTGTGTGCCATTATCGTCCCTGTTTTATGGGAGGGAAATCTGAGGCTCAGACTTGCTCAGTGAATGGCAGAATGGTCCATTCACATGACCTCTGCTCCAACACCCACCTCTGCCGGAGGGCACCTCAGTGGTCTTTCCTGGCTCACAAGCCAGTTGACACCTGCGATGCAGGGCAGGTAGAGCAGACACGTGAACGAGAACGTGGCTTCTTTTGCTGTGCTCACAGTTATGGGAGGCATTTTCCAATGGGCAAGACTGGAAATAGCACCGACATCAGGAAAAAGCAGCCAGTTTATGATCTGCAGCAGGAAGCAGACTTGCGGCCCCGCTCGTTGAGCAAAGCAAAATATGGTTCCACTTTATGCAACAGAAAAGTGTGTGATCTCTTACAAGAGGAAGTGTGCTCAGCCAAAGGGCCGACTTCCACATGTATCGTTCAATCTCTCTCTTACACACACACACACACACACACACACACACACACACACACACACACAAAGTATTCAGTGAAATATTTCCGATCTCAACATCATGCTCCTCCAAAACCAGGCTAGAGAAAACCTCTACTGTGCAAGAACCAGAGAGGACCACAGGAATGCAAGAGCCCAGGAAACAGCGAAGGCAGGCTGAGGTTTAGAGTACACACAGCCAGGGCCATTCTTGCCCTAGACATTGCCTTTGCACCATGCAAATGAGGAACAGGCACCCCTCTGGCTGGACACAGTGCTGCAGACTTGGCGAGTGAGTGTGGGCTGAATTTCTGCTCCCGTTTAACTTCCCTGGCCGGCATCTTTGTGCCCTGTGCTATCTGCACAGCTGTACAGGCCTGCACAGCCTGCAGTCAGGCCCAACCTTAGAGCAAGGACAAGAGTAGGGGCACAGAGCCTCCACTGTTACATAGATGGGTTTTTATTCCACTGGGTTCCCCGAGCTGCTTAAACCTTTTAAAAATACATACATATGCATGCAATTAAAATCCTTTTTCCCTTTGACTCGCCAGGTAGAGGAGAAATGGTTCCCTGTGTTGGGGACCAGTATTTACCCATCAGCGGAGAGGAGGCGGGGGCCGAGGGCTCCTTCTGGGGTGGAGCGTGGGCCGAGTAGGCAGACAGCAGCAGGTTGAGGGAGCTGAGTAGCTGGCTCTGGATGCTGCTGAGCTTGGAGGCAGGCTGCTTGATGGCACTGGCCAGCTCCGGGTACCCGTGCTCCAGGCAGCTCCATTGCTCCTGCAGGAGTTCCTGGATCTTCTTAACATATTGCCCAATAGTGGCATCTGTTGGTGAACTTGATGGCCTCCCTGGGCGCTCCTTCCCTGGCAGCTCTGAACTGGCCTCCTCCCTCCCTGCCGGAGGAGTCTTTCTATCACTGCTCCATGGAGAGCCTCCTGGTCCCTTGCCCAGACCCTTGGCTCCCACCTGAGGGTCCCCCTCAAGCTCAGAGCCTGTTTCTTCGATCCTCAGCTCAGTGGAGAGGCAGCTATGTAAAGAGGGCGTGAGGACCATCTCGGGTCCTTGTGGCAGTGAGAGCTGAGATGGTGGCATGAATTCTGCTGGGCTCCAATCCCCCGGTTTGTGGCTGTCCTGCCCCCATAAGAGCCCATTCTCCTCTCCTCCAGCCCTCCAGCTTTCAGATCCTGTGCTGCCCAGAAGGTTGACCTCAATGCTCTTGTCACACAACTCCCTGGTCAAGAGTCCATGGAGGGGGTCAGTGTTGACCACGGCGTCAGTCTGGCCCTGAGCATCTTTGGCGTTCTCATGGCTAAGCTTATCTGCCAGTTGAGCTACAGTGCACTCTAGTTCTTGAATCCTCTGCCCTCTAGCCTTGATTTCCTCCTCCTGCTGCTGGAGGGCAGCTCTGACCTGGGCCAGTTCCTCAGTTCTTCCAGATAGCTCACCCTCAAGGGCAGACAGCTGTTGCTTCAGGCTGGAGATGCTGACGGGATCCATCGTGGGGAGGCCCAGGCTTTCCTCCGTGACCCGGACGCCAATGCTTCTCACGTCTATCTCCACAGGTGGTGGGGGTGGGATCTCGCTGATGTTGAGCTCTATTTCTTCTAGGGGGAACTCGTTCTCAGGGATGGGTGATGGCAGAGGTGGGGGACTTGGTGTTGGGGAGCCAGGGGTGACCACTACCTCTGCTTCTGGGGTTTTGTGTTCATCTTCTTCATCCTCGAGAACTATCAGTGCATCCTGGGATGAGAAGGGAGGACTTGGGAAAGAGAGGTGATTTGGAGCCTCCTCATCATCTGCATCCTCTGGAGGCTCAGCGCCTTTCTGGACCAGCTCTGGAATCCCTGGCACCAGGTCCCCAAACTCTCTGACTTTGGGTTGAGTTGTTGCTCGTGGGGTGGAGTTTTGAAAGCCCGCAAATCCATCTGCAGGGCCAAAGGTGCCATCACAGACATTGCCTTCACCCTGAAGGGGAGGGAGGGCAGGAGGTGTGGGGGGACCTGAGTTTAGGCTTGGGTCCTCAGAGGCCCTGTTTTGCAGCAGTGTGGCTGGCATGCTGGATGCCCTCAAGAGCTGGGGCCGTCCACTCCCGGAGGCCAGCTCAGCCTCCCTGGGGGCTGCAGCCTCCAAATGTCTGGCTGTCTCCGCCAGCAGGGCCTTCCTGTGGTAGCTCACGTCACTCCCGCTGGTGGAGGCTTGCACATGTTCACCAGGTGGCAACGACTGGGCTCGCTCCTCTGTCCCCAGCGGCACCTTCCTTGGCACCACTGGGGACCAGTTTTGGTGGGGAAGAGCAGCATGGGGGCGAGCCCTGCTGTCAGGAAGGCTGAAGTTTCGGGGCAAAGTGCTAAACTTGGCCTGCTTGGCCCTTCTGTGGATAGGAATCCTTTTGATGGTGTTTCCCTTCTCAATGTCATCCACGTACTTGAGGAAGTCCAGGTCTAAATGAAAGCCATATGGGGTCTCCACAGAGTAGGGGTGGCTCTTTGGAGGGTCTTTCTCTTCCTCTCCCTGAGAGGACTGGTCTTTGGCTGGGAGACATGTAAAAAAGAAGCACAATGTTAATAAGAATTGCAGGGTGGTGAAGCCGAATATGTGTGATTTAGACTTAAGGCTCTCACATGAGACGTCTCCTAAATGTCCCAGCCTCTAAATTAAAGCTGAGATTCTCACAGTCTTCCGGCCATGCTGAGAGTCCAGGTTATTAAATCAGTGTGTACTTAGCCAATGTCTGCAAGGAAATAGGTAGAGGAAATAGTTTCCAATTTGCAGTATTCATCTCAGTTACTGCTGTGGAATCTGCCCACAGACCAGCAAAATAAAATAGTCTCATACTGTTTTTCTGGTTCTGAGTCATGGTAACTGCTGAACTGAAGTGGCCAGGAATTTGCCGGATCAGGGTACTAATTGGAAATTATGAATACTGAAGGTTTTGAAGGATAAAATATACAACTGCCTCAACATTAAGAAAGAACCTTGCATTATTCAAATAGATACTAGTAAAGCTTGCCGAAGCCAGAGATATCAAGGAGTTATGTCTTCTGTATTATTTAAGCTACCTCATATGTGTCAGCCTTCAGATACAGGAGGATCAGAGAGAATTGGAACATGTAGTCATGCACAGCTCCTGCTCTTTTCCACCTGAAAACTGTTTAGTGCTTTACAAACATGAGTAAAAGTGCTTCACTTTCAAAAGCTCATGTCAGGTGAGGAAATACCATATTCTTCATAGACTGGATAAAAGCTAGTAAGGAAAAAGGGCCATGTCAAAAGGAACATTGGTGTACATCCTCTGAGAGGGGTGGGACTCATGACTTTTCAGGGCAGCCCAGACTATCAGGGGACATTGTGATGACAAAGTTCATCACACCAAGGCACCATTGATTTTCTTGACTCCAGCAGTGAATGCTGAGAATAAGTCAGTCCTTCAACTATTTGCATCCATAAGGACTTCTTCAGGTTAAATCGTCTGTTCTCATGTAACACCCCTAACATTCTGCTAAACATGCTCCAAAATTGCTTAGCTCAGGAGAGAACATTAATGGACAGCACAGAGATCAAGAATGCAGGTTCAAAAGCCTGGTCTGTATTTTGACCCTTAGGGAAATGACTTAGCCTCTCTATGTCTCATCATCTATAAAATGGGAATATCAATAGCAAGATGAGATTATTGTGAGAACTGATTAATTAATATTTATAAAGTGCTTCGCATGATAAACACTCAACACGTGCTCAATATTGTAGTTATTATCTTTGTGGAAACACAAAACATAGAAAACCGATGCCTCATAATGGAAGTGGATTTGCCTGGGTGCACAGAAGGGGACAAACTTAGGGGCGCCTGGGTGGCTCAGTTGGTTAAGCATCTGACTTCAGCTCAGGTCATGATCTTGCAGTCTGTGAGTTCGAGCCCTGCGTTGGCCTTTGTGCTGGCAGCTTAGAGCCTGGAGCCTGCTTCGGATTCTGTGTCTCCTTCTTGTCTCTGCCCCTCCCCCACACATGCTCAGTCTGTCTCTTGCTCACAAAAAATAAATAAACATTAATTTTTTTTAATTATAAAAGCAAATAAACTTTTAAAAAGTACTTTTCTTAGGCTTGGAGGTTAATTCTGCCTTGGTAGGAAAGGGATGACTTCACAAAAGTGACCTAAGACTGACATAAAATGAACAAACAGGAATTTACCAGGAGAACAAGAGGGTGAAAGACATTGTAGCTGTTTATCTCCAAGATGGCCACCATCACTTCCCACCCTCCATACAGGCAAGGGAATCCCACATGAGAGGCAGAGTCTGTTTCTCCACCCCTTTGAATCTGAGCTGGCCTGTGACTGCTTTGACCAAAATAATATGGTAGAAATGATGCTGAGGGAATTCCAAGGTTAAAGCCTGGAGTTCCACCTGGGTCTGTTAGAATGCACACTCAGTGGAAAGGCAGATGCCACATACGAAGTCCATCTTCCCTGAGACTGCCATACTGTGCGGAAGCCCTAACAGCCCCACACGGAAGAGATGGGGAAAGAGGGTGAGACGTGCTTAGCCAGCCCAAGCTGTTCTAGCCATGCTAGCCCAGGTGCCAGGCATGAGTAAAAGAGCCCTCAGATGACTCCAGTCTCCGCCATCATCTGACTTCAGTGACAGTGAGGCACTCTGAGTGAGGACCACTCAGCTAAGCTGTGTTAATAATACATTCTTGTTTTACGCCACTAAGTTTTGGGGTGTTTGTTACGCAGCAATAAATAGCACAGATTCTAGATACACATCGGAGAATGTGCAAAGGCATGGAGGTGTGAAATGTCATAGTGTTCTGGGGTTCTGTAAATATAGTTGATGTGGCTGGAGCTCCAAGTGAGGTAGAGAAGAGTAGAAAGGGACAAGTGGAAAAGTCAGCAAGAACCAGATCTTGGAGCAGTTCACATGCACACCAACAAGCCTTGACTTCACTCTGCAGGTAATCAACTGTGGCTTCTCAGAGTATCTTCACAGAGGACTGCAAAAAGGACAAACCAAATGCCTCAAGACCATTTGGGAGCCTGCTGACATGGTCAAGGTAAGAGAAGCTAAAGGCTGACATGGTCAAGGTAAGAGAAAGGAATGAAGGGAAAGGGACAAGTTAAAGAAAAAGGGTGCAGTTGATGGTGCTACCTGGGGTAGCTTCTGGGGGGCTGCTTTCTCCCCACATGTGATGACATATTGGGCCTGAGTTCTTCCCACTTGCTCGTCTGATCTCTCCTTTTGGCCAGTGTCACATGCTTTTCAGGTGGCCCTCTGTGTTTAGAGAAGTACAGTTACCTCCAAAGAACTAAATGAAATCAACTAGACACGCAAAGGTTCATGGTGTGCACACTGACACAATCAAGCCTAGTAGGCTCAGTAAAGCCATAGGCTTTACACAGTTACGTCACAACCATAGCAAGAAACAAAAGGAGGCACTGGTGCTCACCCACAGGATGGTCTTCGTTGGATTCTACCATTTCTGTGGCAGGGACCTGAACTTCAGGTAATGAGGAGTAAATACGTCTCAACCCCCGCCCCCCCCCATACCAAATAAGTTCCCATTCACCCACACAATGTTTTACCAACCTGCTTTCCCAAAGAGGCACACTCGTAGTTTCAGTAACTGAGAGCTATTGCTTTTCTGTTAGTTTTCCAGGCTACACTTGGCTGTACTCTTAAGCCTACTGGTCGGCCCTGCAGCCTCCTGGATTACAGGGACAGACCAAATCAGAGAGGAGGTATTTGTCTAAAGTTAAGTAGAGAGCAGATTTATGACCCAGAAGGCAAGGAACTCTCCTAAAGGAGAGGCTGCATTATTTATCTGCTTATTGCCTCAATTCAATTGAGGCTGATTTGCCCAGTGGCCTCTGGGAGCAGGTCCAGAGCACAAATACAATAATAGCATCAAATAAGAAACAGCAGATTCGAAGGCAAAATCTTCCACAAGGGAGATGGAAGGAAACCAAAGGAGTCTGGAGACTGAGCAGCCATCCAGGATGATAGATTTAATAGGTGCTTTCCTAAACTAGCCCTATGGGTTATCTCTCTCTCTCTCTCTCTCTCTCTCTCTCTCACACACACACACACACACACACACCTGTTCTACCTGCCACCCACCACTGTGTTCCTTCTCCTTCTCCCAATGTAATAGGAATGCTGGACCTTGTATGAGGGAGTTGATCCAATATGCCAGCAGACCTGTGCTCACATTTGGCCCTGCTCTTCTTAATTCTACCTGGTGACAGGTATGCAGGACCTCAGAATTCCAGGCATTGAGCCAGGGCAAGAATTAATTAAGAGGACCGTCTCTGCTCAAAATGAGCTTCAGATCGGATAAATGAACACATAGCCAAACTGGCTGGATTTGAATCCTGGCTCTGTCATTTCCTACTTCTGGGAACATTACTTAATTATTTAATTTCCTGATGCCTCAGTTTCTCCATTTGTAACGTGGTGATAATAATACCTAACTGACAGAGTCATTGCAGTTGTTAGCATGAATGCCATAGAAAGAACACAGCACAGGGACTTGAGAAAGGCAAGATAGGCTGGTGCTGAGTGAGGCAGGGGAGGATCTGCTGAAGGTGTGCTCATTCCTTGGAATATTTAGCTTTGTGTTAGAATGACAGCCTCAAGAGTCCAAGAAGATAATTCTGGGGAAACTGGGAAAAGGAGTCAGGGGAGAAGAAAAAAGTAAGTTATATAGGCTCAGAGCTACTTAGGATTCCCTACAGAGTCTGAAAGCATGCCAGATCACTAGACCCTTGGAAATGACCCGCAAACAGTTGTGAGCCTAAGACACACACAGATGCAAGAAAGGGGATCGGAAGGGGACTAGGGAAGGAGGGAGATGCCACAGTGGTTATCTTGAGGAACACAGTGAAGTGCAGCAGGTGAGCTCACCAATCAGAGATATTTAAAGTGAGGAAGAAAAGTCCAAAAGCCTATATTCGTTTTCTGAAGGAAATAGGAAAAACAGAAACTATAGAGAAAGTGACCCAAAACACAGCCAGAGGAAGGGAGATTTAATGAGCCAGCCTCTTCAGAAGGCTTAAGACAGTGACCAAGCTTTTTCCCTCTTCAGCCTTTATTTTGTGAGGTGGTTGTGCCTGAGGGAGGGGTGCCTTTGTTGAGCTAGTTGTGGGTAATCATGTGGAGCACAGCGGTGGGGGTGGGGGGGAGGGGGCAGTTGCTGAGCTGAGCCGGGACAGATGAGGCAGGCAGGAATGACAGGCCCCCAGGGCATTAAGAGAATTAACTGGTGTTCTGTGGGACCACTTCCATGGATGCACTGAAAAGGCAGCTCTCTGGGGAGAAAGGCAGACTCTTGACATATACGGTGACTACATTTGGAAAGAAGGAAGAGGCAGGGCTGGAGTTGCCGTCTGGTCCCTAAGTCCTGTGCTGGTTAAAGGTCATGTGATTCAGGGGGATTATAGGCACTCCTGTTACCTGACATTTGTGATCTGGAAAAAGCATTTCATTAGAAAGTCAGGAGATCCGGATCTCCTCTATAACCTTGAGCATGTTTCCTGGACAGGGGAAGAAGGGAATATTTATGAAGACATTTGTTGTGCAAGATAGTTATTACTTAACAACTTTGCATGCATTATCTCAGTTAGCCTTTTACCAACCCTATGAAGTAGGTATTTATACCTGCTTATAGCTGAGGGGCAGTAGACCGTTTGCAAAAACAGCCACAATCATATCCCACTCTTGGACACTCCCCTCCCACATTGACCCTGAGCTTGGCCTTGTGACTTGCTTTGACCAGTGGGTCAACAGCAAATGTGACAAATGCAGAGACTTGAAAATTGCTGGCACTTTGAGGTGTGTCTGTTCTTTAAAAAAAAATTTTTTTTTAATGTTTACTTATTCTTGAGAGAGACAGACAGAGACAGAGTGTGAGTGGGGGAGGGTCAGAGAGAGAGGGAGACACAGAATCTGAAGCAGGCTCCAGGCTCCAAGCTGTCAGCACAGAGCCTGATGTGGAGCTCGAACTCACAAACTGTGAGGTCATGACTTGAGCCGAAGTTGGACACTTAACCGACTGAGCCACCCAGGTGCCCCTGGGGTTTGTCCGTTCTTGCTGTGCTTGCTGTGCTTCGGCCACTGTGTGAATAAGCCCCAGCTAGCCTGCTGGATGATGAGAAACACATGGCCAAATCATTACCTGTGCCCCAGGTGACATGGAGTCAACCACCAGCGATGTAAATATGTCCATTCTAAATCATCCGGCCAAGTCACCCAGAAGACCACAAACACATGAATAAGCCCAGCACATGTCAAATATCAGAGTAGAACAATGGTCCAGACAACCCACAGAATATTTTGGGAAATAGTCAATGTCTTTATTTTAAGTCAATAAATTTTTGACTGGTTTGTGACACAGCAGAGTTAACTGATACATGAGGGGACTGAGACTCAGAGGAGTTAAATGACAGGGAGAGTCACCCAGGTATAAATGAAGGCTCTTTCACCGTATTGTGCCTCTTTCTCAGACATCAAGTTCCTTATCCTTAAAATGAGGGTAACAAGGGGCACCTGGGTGGCTCAGTTGGTGAAGTGTCTGACTTTGGCTCAGGGCATGATCTCACGGTTCATGGGTTCGAGCCCCACGTTGGGCTCTGTGCTGACAGTTCAGAGCCTGGAGCCTGCTTCGGATTCTGTGTCTCCCTCTCTGCTTCTCCTGCGCTCTCACTCTGTCTGTGTCTCTCTCTCTCAAACAGAAACAAACATTAAAAAAAAAAAATGAGGGTAACGGGTGAGGGCATCCTGCTCCCTTCTCCATGCTTGGAAGAGGTGAGAAAACTGTCCAAAAATTACACAAGTGCGACACAGATGTGAAACTTTTCATCTTCTACCACCTTCTGTTGTTCATACCTGAAATACATGGTTGGGGTCTCCCAGCACTGCCTATTTGGGGAATGTCTCTTGTGGGTCTCCCTTAGGCTATTTCCAGGATCTGTGAAGGCAATCCCTTTCCAACCCAAGTACTCGCTTTAGACCAGGGAGTACAGAGCGGCCTGCCTACCATCTGTCTTCTCCATCTTAGGGAACGCAGACTGTCAGTCTCTCAGGCACTCTTCATCCAGGAAGTCTGTAAAACTCGTTGGAGAGTCCTAAAAGGAAGGACAGGAAAGTGGAGTCTTATTACCTACAGCTAGAATAAGTATGGAGGCAACATAACACCAAAGACCTCCTATCCCTGCATTTCTCCCAGGGATACCCATGAGCTTCACACTCCCTCCTACAGTGTGTCCAATCCTGGGCATGACTTCACAGGATGTTAGCAATGGTTAACAACAAAGGAAGCATTTGGCCCAACCGGCTCTCTTGGCAGATGAAGAAACTGAGGCTCAGAAGTCAATTGCTCTCAGGGCTCCTGGGTGGCTCAGTCAGTTAACGAGTCTAACTCTTGATTTCGGCTCAAGTCATGATGTCACTGTTCATGAATTGTGAGCCCCATGTCAGGCTCTGCGCTGACAGCACAGAGTCTGCTTGGGGTCCTCTCCTTCTCTCTCTCTCAAAATAAATAAATAAATCAACAAACTTTAAAGTAGCTAATTGCTCTGTGCAGGACCTCTCAGCATTCTAGTGACAGAGCTGGAGCCAGACCCAGGGCTCTGACAACTATCACAGTGTTCCTTCCATAACATCAAAAGCTGTAATCAACCCCCCCTCCGTTATGGTAAAAGAATTATAATCCATTTATTTTTAATACTGGAATCAGAGTATCTATAAATGATCCGTGACGTCCCAATCAGATTCAAAACAGGGGCGAGATCATTGCAAGTACTGAGTAGGAGCAGATACTTAGAAGTGATTTCTAACCACAGGCAGGACAAGGGAAGTTCAAGCTGGGTGGTCCAAAGACATCAGAAATTATTCAAGCAGAAAACTGTCCTGACTCTGAATTAGGATACCTTGAGGTTTAATCATAAATTCTCCCCAAAGTTTTAATCCATTCCCTGGACTCTTTCTTTGAATGGTAAACAACCTGGCGCCTACCCCCATTATAATAAATCACCTAGGAAAATTGTCTTTTTATGATTGTAACTCCACACACATCATAACAATGAATTATCTGTGATACCTCAGCAGTGGAAGCGGAGTTGTTTCAGGAATTCCAATGTGTTTGACAATGAATTCGAGACCAGAAAAGCATACCAGGGATGAGGGGAGGATTGAGGGAAACTGGGAGTGACAGATGGATGAGGGGTGGCCTCCAACAATCCAGGATGGAAAGAAGGTGAGCAAACAAGTAAACTGGAGAAGAGGGCTGGGAAATGTGAGGCCCACCAAATGAGAAGAAGTCTAAAGTTTGCCTGGAAGATTTTCATGTGTCCTCTTTTCTGTGAGCACTCCAAACTACCTTCCATGCAGCTGCCAGAGGGACCTTTCCCTGTAGAAGAGTGAGCCCTCTAGAAGGGCGGGCTGGGTTTCTATGTGCAGACACACTCTCTGCAGAGGGAATGCTGACACGAAGTACCTCACCTACCTCGGGACGATAAGTACTTGAGTCTGGGGGTGGTAGAGAGCTGGAGTAGAGAGAAACTGGGGATAAGAAGGGCAAGTGTCCTGCTAACCAGGCAGACGGTGGAGAGACCTAGAAGGTTCTAACCTGGGGCAAGGGAGGGTCACCCTTGCTAGAAAGAAAAGGTTCTGAAATCACCTACGTGTCCATCAGCGGATGAAAGGATAAAGGAAGTGTGGTATATGGGCACCTGGCTGGCTCAGTCAGTTAAGTGTCCGACTCTTGGTTTCGGCTCAGTCATGATCTCACAATTTGTGGGTTTGAGTCCCACGTCAGGCTCTGTGCTGACAGCTCAGAGCCTGGAGCCTGTGTCAGATTCTGTGTCTCCCTCTCTCTCTGCCCTTCCCCTGCTCAAGCTCTGTCTCTCTCTCTCTCTTTCCCAAAAATAAACATTAAAAATTAAAAAAAAATAATGAAGTGGTGTATACATATATACAATGAAATATTGTCATCGCATGACAAAAGTAATATTTGGAGACCATTGATACAATTATGGATGGATCTTGAGGGCATTATGCTAAGTGAAATAGAGAAACACAAATACCATATGATCTCACTTGTTTGTGGAATCTAAAAAAACCTGATTCCATAGATACAGAGAACAGATTGGTGGCTGTCAGAGGCAGGGTGGGGATGGTTGGTGAAATGGGTGACAGTGGTCAAAGGAATTTTAAAATTTTAGTTAGGAGATAAAACACTAGGCATAAGGGTATAATGTGCTGCATGGGGACTATAGTTAATAACACTGTACTGCGTATTTAGAAGTTGTTAAGAGTAGATCTTAAAACCTATCATTGTAAGTGTGATATATATATATATTGATATACATATATATATATATATATATATATATATATCAATACACACACATATATATAATGGAATATTACTCAGCCATAAAAAAGAATGAAATCTTACCATTTGCAACAACATAGATAGGTCTAGAAGGTATTATGTTAGCTGAAATAAGTCAGTCAGAGAAAGACAAATACCATATAATTTCCCTAATATGTGGAATTTAAGAAAGAAAACAAAAACAAAGAAAACAAGAGACAAGGGCCACCTGGGTGGCTCAGTTGGTTAAGCATCTGACTCTTGATTGCGGCTCAGGTCATGATCTGATGGTTCATGAGTTTGAGCTTCACATCGGCCTCTGCACTGACAGCACGGAGCCTGCTTGGGATGCTCTCTCTTGCGCTCTCTCTCTGCCCCTCCCTTGCGCATGTGCACATATTCTCTATCTCTCTCAAAATAAATAAACTTAAGAAAATTTTTTATTAAAAAAAAAAAACAAACAAACAAAACCCAGACTCTTACCTATAGAGAACTGATAATTAAAGGAGGTGGGTGGGGAGATGGGTGAAATAGGTGAAGGGAATTAACAGTACACTTATGATAGCACTGAGTAATGTATAGAATGGTTGAATCAGAATATACACCTGAAACTGACATAATGCTGTATGTTAACTATACAGGAATTTTTTTTTAATGTTTATTTATTTATTTTGAGAGAGAGAGAGAGAACAAGCAGGGGAGGGGCAGAGAGAGAGGGAGAGAGAGAATCCCAAGCAGGCTCCATACTGACAGTGCAGAGCCTAACGTGGGGCTCAATCCCATGAACCTGAGATCATGATCTGAGCTGAAATCAAGAGTCAGACGCTTACCCGATTTAGCCACCCAGGCACCCCTACTATGCAGGAATTTTTTAAAAGTTCTCATCATATTTCACATAGTTGTAGCTATGTAACTATGGTGTTACACAGTTTGTAACTATGGTTACAGTTAACGGATGTTAACTGGACTTATTGTAGAAGCCATTTAACAATAAATACAAATATCAAGTCATGTTGTACACCTAAAACTAACACAATATTATGTCAGTTATGTTTCAATTATCTCAATTAAAAAACAAATATATATATTTTTAAATTTTTAAATTTAAATTAAAAAAATTTTTTTAACATTTTTATTTATTATTGAGAGACAGAGACAGAGCATGAGCAGGGGAGGGGCAGAGGGAGAGGGAGAGACAGAATCCAAAGCAGGTTCCAGGCTATGAGCTGTCAGCACAGAGCCCAACACGGGGCTCAAACTCACAAACCGTGAGATCATGACCTGAGCCAAAGTCAGACGCTTAACCGACTGAGCCACCCAGGCGCCCCAATAAATATAATTTTTTTAAAAAAATAAAGAAAAGAAAGGGTTTCTAGACAGAGGACACTGCCACTGATCTCAATGCCACAGGTCCACAGTCGGTGGGGGAGCCTCCCAGATGCTGGAGGGCAGGAAAGGCTTGGCAGCTGTGAGGTGAAGCCTAGGGAAGAAAGGGTGAGGACACAAACCCCAGGCATGGCCCCTCAGCCTGTCTCTCCATCATCATCATGGTTTCCCCCTCCTCCTTCCTTCTACCCCACAGCTTTACTGAGCAACAGGCAAGTGTCAGAGCACCTGACATGCTCGAATTATCTCATGCAGTCGTCACCATAGCCCCAAGGACATTATTATTATGGTCCCCACTTTTCAGATAGGGAGACTGAGGCTGAGAGGGTTTACAGGCCTGCCAAAGTCCCATAACAAGCAGGTGTTAGAACAGGATTTGCCCTCAAATCTAGCCAACTCCAGTCGTGTCCTGGGAACAGAAGTGATTTATAAACCTTTGCCCAGCCCTAATGCTGTGACCGATCCCTAGCTCTCTCTGTGAGGGGAGATGTTCCTGACTTGGATGCTTCTCTGCTTCTCTCACAAGTATGCACAAAACGCCTTCTGGACACGGATAAGGAGACCGCTCTCTTGTAAGGTCTCTTGGCCAAAGGTGTGTGTGATCTCCTTCTCTAGGACTGGACACCACACAACAAGGCTCCTCCTAAGCAAGAGGGGGCCACCTGGGTGCAGAAGGACCTTCAGCACAAACCCACCATCCCATTGGAGAGTTCAGTCACACTCACCAGCTTTGGTTTGAGTTAGGACTCAGCCCTTGATGTATCAGATCCTAGGGCTTCAAATAATTATGCAGCACACATTAGATCAAATTTCACTAAAAAGAACTCTACGGAGACTTCTAATAGTTCTCTTAAACTTGAATTTTGCTAAAATTAATCATTCCAAGGTTACAGAAATCAAATGGAGCTGACACCCCAACACTCTGAAGAAGAGGGCATAGCAAGCTTGCACTCGAAAGGGCTAGACACAGGAAGGAAAGGAGAGAACTGTCATGCCCACATCATGCCGCTGCCGGCCTCCACCCACCCCGGACTTCTGTACTCGGCCCATCGTCCTTATGGTGGACATCTTAGATTTTAGCTGAGGGTGTATATTTCATGTGGTTAGGTGAGTGGAATGGAAGAATAATTGCCACATCAACGCATGCTACTTTGCAACACAACTGAATATGAAAATTAGCCTTGTTGGACAGAATTCCCCTTTCAAATGGAATTTTGCAACCTTCTAAAGCATTAACAATTCTGACATAAAGCAGTTTATTACTCGATGCCGTTAAGTTGTATCCTTGATATT